TTTGAGACTTGTGTCCTAAGACTAATCTTCTGATATACATCTCATTCTGAACGGCCACGGCCACTGAGTATCCTTCCCTTCAAGAGATGATTTATTTTCAAAAACTAGTACAAGCTGTGTTTAAAGGAAAAATTAACGAAAAAAAGCGCGTTGGTCCCATGCGCCTGACACATAAGTAATACGCGGTCCTCAATGGGTTAATTTTCACTTCGAGAATTAATCTTTGTTTTTGAGTACAACTGGGGATAGCTGATGAACGGAAGTCAACCCCGTGCAAATTCTATTTACGTCAAGATCTCTTGCATACTTCGTTTTCCCTTCTCCATTTATTAAGTTTTAGGCTCTGAATGAGACATTGGACCAATTGCGAAAAGAAGCTGATGTACTGCGTGACAGTGTTCTGGCTAAAGAGGAGGAATTAGCAAATGTTTGTTTCGAATCGCAGTGTTGATGATGATTTTAATGTTTCTCAAATTTAAGATGAAAGGAAGATGTGCTCAGTTTGAACAATTGTCCAAAGATATCCAGTTTTCAATGGATCGCGAGTTATCAGAAAAATCTGCCGAAATAGTGAGTGTTTTTGTATGTGAGAGCGATGTAATACAGTCTGTTAAGTTAACTTCTTATCAGGAGAGGCTTCTGTCTTTCACATCTCAATTAGAAGCGGCCTCTGCCGCAAAAGAATCCTCCTTAAGTGGGGAGATTTCTGCTTTGAAAAGGTCAATAGAGGCAGTTCAATCGGAGTTGGATGAACAATTGCGGCTCTCTGCCGAGGCTGCTAAGACGGCAGAAGAGCTCACCTCCGCTAACATGGGCAAGTTTTACTCCTTAAACTTTGCTAATTTTATTTTGACCCGATTTTATGTTGATATATGCAAAGACTTCAATATATACAGAGATGTCGAAGAAGATCTCGTCTTGGGAAGAGGAAAAGAATGCGCTCATTGAAAGGTAATTTATGTAGAGAAACCATTTAACTTTGAGAATTGTTAGTATTTCTCAAAATTTGCAATCCAAGATCTCGCATGTTTTCAAACGTTATTTTTAGGTGTCTCAACACAGAGAGTGACCTGGACTTTGAACGAGATCGTGCGCTGGAAAACAAACGCCGGTTTGATGAGGCGCTTTCAGCAATGCATGAATTAGGGAGAGCTAATCAATCACTGCAGGTCAGCGTTGCCAATAAAGTAATTTAAAAACCAGTGTCTAGCATGTATATAGGAGGTAGCTGTTATTTATATGCTTGAACCAATATTTTTAAATGCCTTTTTTGTTTAAAGGATTGGCTAAACGTAATTTTTGATTTAAGACACTAATTTTTATACAAAAGATTACTACTGATGTGCAAATTACGTTTGCATCTATTGATGCTCAGCAACGATAGCGAAAGGATGAAAACTGTTTTTCCTAGTGTTAAATCGCTATTTTTTACGCTTTTCATGAAAAAAATTTCTCTGTATATCAGAGAAGTTTGGAATTCGATTTTGTGCTGGAAGAGTTGTAATTCACGAATATCATGTGTGCGCTAAACATCTTGGGAAAAGTTCAGTTGGGAAAATAGCAGTGCATAGTTACTACATTAGTTAATCGATTGGAAATCAACAATGCGCTGATCCGATTGAAGAAGGGGGAAGGTGTAAATCAAATTTGTTATTTTTTACCTTTTTATAATAACAGTAAAATTTCTTCGTTGATATTCTAGAAAGTAGTATAGTAATTGCAAAGAAACCTGAAAATTCGCTATAGGAAGGAATTGCTTCAAGTTTCTGATAATAGTTGTTGATATTGATGAGAGCTTGTGGTTTCAGATGGATATATCTAAACACACGTCACGCACATGGCTGGACGATTCTGCTGCTGTCAACTGTACCAGTTG